TGTTCTTGGATTGACAATTGTTGCTTGTTGTTGGTTCGTATGCTGGCAATTGCTGTTCTCGTGTAATTAAAACAAATACATCGGACAAAAACTAAGTTTGCAGCACAATGTTTTTATTGCGTACTTTCTTGCAACCCTTCCCGTTCCGTGCCCTCCTCCCGTTCTAGTTGAGGATGATGTTGCTGATGCTTTTCCATGTAGTTTGACTAAATGACATTGACGTTTGCTGTGTGCGACATCAAATGAAATGAGCGATTGCTGCTTCACTTGTAGTTGACGTTTGTCTTTTAGTTGCTCCGACAAAGCTTGTTATGACATGATTTGATTTATGCTTTCATCATTATCAATCCCTCCGGTTTTTTCTCTGGTTGATCTGGTTGCTTCGTTTTCTGTCGTTTTGGAGCCGCTAGCTTCACTAGGTGGTCACATTCGAGCCGAGAGTAACATTATCATATTAAATAAATTAACAATTATCGCAAGGATTGCCACGTCAGATTTCCGATTAGCCGAGACTATATTTCAACTTTTAATAAGAGAAATTGTAATGTTCATGTTTCGAATGTAAATGTATACGAAATTTCCACTGGTGGTCGGTATGTTATTAAGCGTGTGTGTCACATCCTTTTTTCTTCTGTCAATTCTGTAAAACGATTTATTGAATTAAAAAATAATAATACGATAAAAAGATGGTAATGTACACACACAAATACACACTCAAAGCCAAGCAAATCAAAGAATCCCACTCAAATATCGACGCTGCTGTGCTCCGGTGCGATTATAATTGGAATTGAAACATGTTTAACAAGATCTAAATAAATACTCGTATTATTATGCGAATGTACGAGTATAGGCGCGGCGGTGCTAAATTCAATTGAGTCGGCAACCAGGCATGTAGTCAAGTAACCGGCTGGCCATCCATCCATCGCCAGAGACTAAGAGGTTCGCAGAAGAGTTTCCAGAGTTTGTCTATGGAAAACTAAAGCCATGTATGTGGTAAAAAAATGTTTTTCATGTAGCAGACATGAAGAAAATCGACAAACCAAAGATTTCGTTTTTTATTTACCACTTTTAGGATATATTTTATTTTGTACTCAAACTATTTTGTATATTTATTTGATTAGCTACAAAAACCAGCATTATGTCATATGCAGGACATAGGTGCGAAATCATTAATAATTGATTCTTTGCATATCCTTCATAATAACAAATACACAAAAACATGATACTCTGTACCACACTGTGATGTAGGGTATTTTGCAAGATTGTGCTATTTACATTTCCGAAGATAATGGCACCTTAGTTGGATGTATACGCTAATATGTGACAGCATGTCCAGACATATGGTGCATTTCTGCCATAGAAGCAGTTACGGAAAGACAAGAAACTGAACTACTATTAGTTTTGTTAAAGCCAAATCTTAATAGAAGCAAGTTTTAGCAGTAATTTAGATAGGCTGAGGTACGATTGTATTCATACTAATAAAAACAACATTAATTATATATTGTGTGTTTGCTGCAAGTGCCTGAGTGAGTGAGTGTACGCAGCTGATAAAAAACCTGACGAGTAATGAAGTGGAGCTGGGGGAAACATAATAATAACAGCAACACAATATTGCAGACGCAATAATCCATCGAACATTGCTGTTTTATACACAGAACTGAGGAAGAGATAACATGCAAGTGGGTCATATAGCACATCAACCATTCATTCGCCACATACCACATACTATCAGTGACTGACTAGCACTCGTATTTCCCCGATCGTAGACAAGCGCAGTTAGGAGTGGTGCAGTAACTGTTACGACTTAAAGAAATTAATTATTTACAAATAAAACTCTTTTGTTTACAATTAATTCTTCACAAAAGGTCTCCCATTGCAATTGGCTGTCCGTCAGTCGGAGTATTTGTTGTTATTCTCATACAATGCCAAGCAATTCCCAGGAATGTCAACAATAACAGCCCACAAACGATTGCATGACTCAAATTCCTCAACAGGATCTATCGATAAGTAACCATCCCGTTCCCATTGCTATGCTTGGGAAATTGATGAATTGCAAACATCAATTCGCATTTTCTGCATAGAAATAATATTCGTGTGCATGGCGGCGGGCAAATCAGGTTACAAAAGAAACTGCTCTGCTGATCCAATCAGTCGGCCAATGTGGAAGTATTGTAATCAAATTTCTTTACTTCAAGGATTAGACAGGAAGAAAACAAAGCCATGCTATTGGGAAAATGTATATGTTGTGCAACCTGAGCAAGGTCCTAATGTAGTGACATGTGCAATTCTCAGTCAAAGACATGCAAAGCGACTTCCTTCGGTTGTTCTAGGATAATAACTGGCATTGTGAAAGAATAATAAAAATTACTTTCATTCCCAAGATGGATTGGCTAGATAAGAGTAGGAGAGCAGCTCGAATGAAGAAATCAAAACAATGCCAAAACAACAATTGATTTAAAACGACAGACATGCATTCTCACTGTTCTGAGTTATGGATAACTGGCTGTTCCTGTTACCTGTTTCTTTGAGGACAACGTAGCCGCTTCCACAATACACAAAAAACAATAAAAACAAGTGAAATGTTTCAACTTGAATGCACATTTCTGAATTCTATTTGTGCAATTTATGTTCGTCTTTTATCTTCCACTGGGGGTCTCGGATATGAGTCGATACAGAAAATGAAACGAATCAACCAGTCACTCAGTCAGTAAGCACTAGCTCCTCAGGTTCTTATTTCATAACATCACCTGTCGTTAAATGAATGCTTTCTGATAAAAATAACATCAGCATGTTATGAAACGTCTGGTGTTGCGAGTGGTGAGGCACACTCAGTGCAATGCAATGTTACACAAAACGAAGTTTTGTTTGTTCTTTGTACTGTTACCACACTGAACACAGTGTATGGAATAGGCCCCTCTTCTACAGTTGGTGAACAACTTGCGAATTTTAAAGCATTGCATCCACCTCCTTCTAACTTTCTCGAAGATATTTAGAAATATTAGATATTTGTTGAACCTCTTATTGTAAATTTCTCACGGAAAACTGAGAATTTTTACTCTAGTAGTCAATGCAAACAAATTTTATTACGTTTATAATTTGTGGGAATTTAAACACTGTAAACTTTTTATTCCCAACATGTTTGTTGGAGGGAAGGGAGCACTGAGCATGGTCATAAAAATGCATTTATCGATGAAGCATAAAAGTAAACAAACCGTACAGACATAACGTAAATTGCCAAAGAAAGCGTTTCAGCATGACGGCGAAAGAAAAGCGCTTAGATTTCAATATTGCATGAGACAATAACAGTAATAATAATAACAAAATAATACAGAGAATTGCATTTTTATCCCTCCAATGCAATCGAATGCAACTACATTTCTGTCAGTGTTCTGTTCGCTTCGTTGGCCATGAATAAAATTCCATTGTACATTGAATTTGGGAAATCTAAAACGATAAATGCAATGATGGCTGTGGGAGAGTTGAGTCGTCAGTATCTCACTCTTCGTCATTGTCTTCAATATGTTGTTTTCTCAGATTTTATTTGTTGTCGTTGTTGTTGAAGTCATGGCGAGAGCACAGTGACAATGCTGGTGGTGGAGGCAAGCCAAATCATATGGGAAGCAAAATGTTTCAAACTCAAAGAGTAAATATTATTCAAATGGTACTCATAATTGAGTAAAAGAGAAACAGTTTTTGCTAAAGGGAGGACTTAAGAGCAAACTGTTTTCGAAATTAACTCAACATAAAACTGGTTTTGTTGGCTTATTTCAATGTTCGTCTCTCTGCGTCTCACAGCATAGCAGACTGAGTTCAATTGATCTTAGAGATTTTCTAATGAGCTACGAAATGAAATGAGATAATGTGAAAAATGTACATTAGTCGTTTCGTCAAGATGATATATACTTTTTAAAGATACATTTTGTGTATGTGTATCCTGTGTTTACTACCTTCGCCAACTAAGTAGAATTATAAGATCTCAAAATACCAATGGCTTAATCTTTTGGTTTCAGAAAATCTCCCACAAGTTTTGCCATACAATCAGTTGCTCTCCACTGCATACGTTATTTCTCTTCTTATTCTCTCAAATTATGTTGTGCCACCACTCTCACCCAAAGCCATTTTGCTTGCTACTCAAAGCCACCAAACCGGTCTCGTTAGTGTCAATGGCTCGATGCACTAAAATGTTTTCTTATGCTGTGCAACTGAATGTTGCCCAACAACCAAGCATACAGACAGACGGACGGACGGGCGGATTGACATGCAGACCAACACAAACCGATAAGTGAACACACAGCCAAAAATATAATTTTACCTCGCCTTTTACCTTCTACTACCACCATCCATCTCACGTATCTCTTGTGTCAGCCGCTCACGCAACTGGCCAAACAAAAAACCCACCAAGTTCACTGAGTGCTCACAGAGAAACCACTCAATTCGCGTGTACGATTGCATACCATTGCGAGCTCTCTCTGCTACTCACGATCTCCATGCAACAGACAGCAGTGTGTACGGAATTAATCACACAATTCCTTAGAGGCCTGATGTGGACAATTTGAGAAATCAGTTACTGAGAAGATTCCGAGTAGATCACACGTTCGTAAATTTGAAACGGAAAGAATTTATTTTTTTTTATATTCTTTACAAAAAAAAAAAAGATTTTTTGTTTACTCAAAAGAAACCTAAAAACACACACAAATAACAACAAACAAGATCTACTCTAGTTACAATAAAAAAAATTAAAAAGTGTATTAAGCAAATATTTACAAAACAAAAAGAAAAACCAAAAAACGACAAATTGTTACCAGAAATACGTTACGTTCGTTGCCTCACACATTTTGGATTACGGTCACGGGCTTCGTCCGCACATCTTAAGCAAGAAAAAATAAAGAAAAAAACCAAAAATTTATCAAAAAGCACTATGAACGTTCAAATTGCTTTGTGTGCTTGAGAAAAAGAAAAAAGAATAATACGATAAATAAAAAGAGAGTAGTGTATGAAGAATAAGAAAAGTAAAAATCTGTAAAATTTGATAATAAGTTATCTCAAGCAAATGGAAACACAAAAATGAAGAATTCTAAAGAACTAAAATCGTAATCAAAGTTAAGTGCAACCAAAAACAAATACCTATTTATCTCATCGTAAACGTTGCTAAGCCGACACATCTCATCAGCATCACACGAAGCCCTAACAGATACCCCCTCGAAATTGCTTTAAGATGGCTCTAATATCGAAAACCATCTTATCGGTGCTCATTTCATTCATTATTCCGGTACTCGGTGCTGCGTTAAGCAAAACGGTCTTATACCAGGCGCCCGACGAGTGCCGTTGGTCCGGTGCCAACGAAGTTGACATAACCCTGGTGTGCCATTTGCGCACCATAAACTCGGAATTGGAAAACACTAACTTCAGTGTGATACAACCACAAAATACCATTCGCCTGCGACTCGAGTGCAATGACGCCCTGTTCTTCCAGAGTACCCTGAGTCCGGATAGCTTCCGTTCGCTCGTAGAATTGCGTTCTCTTACCATTGAGTATTGCAAACTCGGCAATCTGACCGACGGTTCGTTCCGTGGTCTACAGGACTTGCGCAATCTCACCATTCGCACACACAACGGCGATTGGTCGACGATGTCGCTGGACATCTCGCCCACCAGTTTCAGTGAGTTTCGACAATTGGATCGTCTTGATTTAAGCCTCAACAATATATGGCTTATTCCCGATGGCATGATTTGTCCACTAAAAGTACTGAAGCACCTTAACATCTCGCATAACGAAATCCAAGACATTAGCAATTTCCACTTCAGTGCCTCGCTCAGCACCCGCAAATCTCGCATTTGCGGCTCGTCCCTGAACAGCATCGATTTGAGTCACAATAAAATCGCAAATCTACCATCGGCCATATTCTCCGGTTTGGGTCGTCTCGTCAACCTGAATTTGGCTCGCAATGGTATGAATTTCATTGCCGATCGCGCCTTCGAAGGACTGGTTTCGCTGCAAGTTGTAGATTTATCTGAAAATCGTCTGACCTCCCTACCGCCAGAACTGTTCTCGGAGGCCAAATTTGTCAAGGAGATCTATTTGAAGAACAACAGTATCAACGTCCTGGCCCCAGGCTTGTTCAGTGAACTGTCTGACTTGCTTGTCTTGGACATGTCGGCCAACGAACTCAACTCACAATGGGTTAATTCGGCCACCTTTGTCGGTCTGAAACGGTTGGTTTTGCTCGATTTGTCTGCAAATAAAATCAGCAAATTAGAGGCCAATCTCTTCCGCTCGCTGACAAGTTTACAAGTACTGAAACTGGAGGAGAACTACATTGATCACATTCCCGATGGTGCTTTCACTGATTTGACCAACTTGCACACATTGATTTTGTCAAACAACCGCATTTCCACCATTGGGCCGAATACGTTCCGCGGCTTATATGGTATTTTGGTGCTCAGCTTGGACTACAATCGCATTTCGAAAATAGACACGCAAGCCTTGAAGAACTGCTCCAGCATACAGGACCTACATTTGAATGGAAACAAACTGCAAACCGTACCAGATGCTCTCTCTTATGTGCCATTACTGAAAACACTCGATTTGGGTGAAAACTTGATCACGAGCATTGAAAACACCTCCATTACTGCCATGGAAAACCTGTACGGTTTGCGTCTCACCGAGAACGCCATCGACTACATTAGACGTGGTGTGTTCGATCGCATGACTTCGTTGCAAATATTAAATTTGTCTGGCAACAAAATCAAAGGCATTGAAGCCGGTGCCTTGCACCGCAACACTCAGCTGCAGGCCATTCGCTTGGATAGCAATCATTTGAAAAACATTGCGGGACTTTTCACCGACTTGCCAAATTTGGTTTGGCTTAACATTTCGGACAATCGCCTGGAGAAATTTGACTATTCGCACATTCCCACTGGTTTGCAATGGTTGGACGTTCGCGCCAACCGCATTGCCCAATTGGGCAACTATTTTGAAATTGAGAATGAGTTGAGTTTGACCACATTCGATGCCAGCTCCAACCTACTTAGCGAAATCACAGCCGGCTCCATACCAAACAGTATTGAGGTTTTGTACTTGAATGACAATCTCATTGGAAAAATCCAGCCATACACTTTCTTCAAGAAGCCAAACCTCACCAGGGTGGACTTGATTCGCAACAAGCTGACAACCCTTGAACCCAATGCCCTACGCCTGTCACCCATCCCCGAAGATCGCGACATCCCAGAGTTTTTCATCGGCCACAATCCCTTCCAGTGCGATTGCAATCTCGACTGGTTGCAAAAGGTAAACACTGAGACTCGCACGCAGCCCAAACTCATGGACTTAGATCAGATCTACTGCAAATTGTCCTACGCACGCGGCAAGACTCATGTTCCCCTCATTGAGGCCAAATCTAGCGATTTCCTGTGCAAATACGAAACCCACTGCTTCGCCCTGTGCCACTGCTGTGACTTTTATGCTTGCGATTGTAAAATGGAATGCCCCGACCGCTGTTCCTGCTACCACGACCAGTCATGGACCTCAAACGTGGTTGACTGTTCGCGTTCCGGCTACGATCGTGAATTGCCATCACACATACCCATGGATTCCACTCAGCTGTATTTGGATGGCAACAATTTCAAAGAATTGTCAAGTCATGCCTTCATTGGACGCAAACGCTTGAAGGTCTTGCATTTGAACCACTCGCGCATTGAGTTCATCCACAACCGCACATTCTACGGCCTGTTGGAGTTGGAAGTTTTGCAACTGAATCACAACAGCCTGCGACACCTGAATGGAAATGAATTCCAAGGCCTTGACAACCTGCAAGAACTTTATCTTCAACACAACGCGATTGCCAGCATCGATTCGCTAACGTTTACGCATCTTTACCACTTGAAAATCTTGCGCTTAGATCACAATCTAATCACTGAGTTTGCTGTGTGGAACTTCTTGCCTCCGTATCTCAATGAATTGCGTCTAACTGGCAACCCCTGGTCATGCAATTGCGGCTTCGTGGACAAATTCCGTGACTACATCAACCGTCATGAGTCTGTTCTAGAGAAACCAAAGTTACGCTGCTCTGCTCTAGCCGGCTCCAACGGCACAGTGGGCATAAATGCAACAGCACTCACGCAACAACCAACCGAACAGTTCGCCCTCTACCTCAGCCCGGAAGTACTGAAAGATACCACCATTCGCTACTTGGTCTGCGGCGGAGTCCAGCAACAGCAGTTGTTGGGAGTCAGTGGCGCCGCTGACATCAATGATAACGTCATCAACGGCAACATGACCTCTACCAAAATGATTCTGTCACAGCCACCCATGCATGATTACGTGCCAATTCTGGTTGCCATACTAACCGGGTTTGTGTTTGTGATCATTTGTACGATGTTGGTTTTCATCTTCAGACAGGAAATGAGAGTGTGGTGTCACTCACGGTTTGGAGTACGGCTCTTCTACAACGGCAACAAAGACATGGACAAGAATGAGCGGGAAAAACTCTTCGATGCCTTCATCTCCTACAGTTCAAAGGATGAAGCATTCGTGACCGAAGAATTGGCTCCACTATTGGAACAAGGTGAGACTCGTTACAAGCTGTGCCTACAGAGTCGTGATTTCCCCGTTGGTGGTTACATGTCGGATGCAATTGTCCAGGCCATCGATACATCGCGCAGAACGATAATGATTTTGTCGGAGAACTTTATCAAGTCCGAATGGTGCCGATTTGACTTTAAGTCAGCTCATCAGTCCGTGCTGCGTGACAGAAGAAGGCGTTTGATCGTCATTGTTCTTGGCGAAGTTCCTCAAAAAGATTTAGATCCCGATCTACGCTTGTATCTGAAGACCAACACTTTCCTACAGTGGGGCGATAAGTTATTCTGGGAAAAACTGAGATTCGCCCTGCCCGATGTGCCCAATAATCAGAGGCGGCCACACGGTGTTGGGGGTCATTGCACAGGTGTCGGTGTACATATGCCCATGGCGCCGCATCATCATCACATGCAAACACACCACCTGCATCACATGCATCCCCAAGCGCAACTGCAACAACACCACCTGCAGCATGCCAGTTTCCGTTCGCAAATGCATCACAATATCAATGGCAGTAGGCAGAACCACAATCGAAACACGCCCCAGCCACCACAGCAATCCACAGTATTGATGGGTCCTCCATGCCAGAATATGCCACCACAGCAACAACAACAGCCGTTACCTCTGCCTCCAAGCGCCGGCGGTCAAAGCAGCATCCAGCATCAAAGTCTACCACTACCACCCTGCCCTAGTCCACGAAGTGCTACAACGCAGTCTTCAATTGGTGGAGCCTCCACAAATTCCGGAAGATCTGTTGCGGTGCATATTTAAGTTAAATACTTTGATAACAGATAGGTACGAGTGTTAGTGCGATAGGCCAGAGCAATAGAAAGAAATACGAAGTGAAAGATCGACCATTTTGCACAAAATTCCGAACAAAAATTTACTGAGAAAACACATTTGGAAATTTTGTTAGTTCGCCAGTAACTGCTGTGCAGCAACTACCTTGCCTTTCGTTTCCCCATTCTTCCTTCGTCTGTTCGACCGGGATATATATTTCTTGTTTCTACTATATTTTTTCGTCCGCCCCAGTCAATCATTTTAAATGACCATTTTGAATTTGTATTTCTGCCTCGTTAAAACAAGACGTTTTTATTTCACGTTTTTATGATTTTCCTCTCGATGTCGGCTATTCGACTCTGTCTTGCTTGATGTCAGCAAAACAACGTAGAAAACGAACGAAAGAAAACACGTTAATGGGGAACGGAAAAGCTATTACAATAACAGGCTGATAAACATGAGACCAAGCAGACGAAGACCAGTGACGAACGAATGGACGGACGACGAACGGGTAGGAAGACTGACAGGAAGAGAAAGACAAACGGGCATCAAGGTACAAACAAGCTACAAAGTTATGGAGGTAATGAGGGAGATGGCCAATAATGTGCAAGGCTAGGATATAGGAGGAAGACGGCCACGAAAAAGGCAACCATAAAGAACCTTTTGGCACAATGGTAATACCAAACAACAAGCGTAGCAAACGAGCCAAGATGCAAATGAGCTGCCGTCGCTGCTGATATTGCCAAAGTCATTGCAGTCCGTTGTCTTTTTGCCACAATTGACACGGCATGTATTTTGGTGTGCTTGTTGCGCTCTGCGGTGCAACCATTGGATTCAAAACGCGTTTGTTTGTTGCCTCTTAAGTTTCGTCTTTGCCTTGGTCGTTGTTTTCGCTATGTTTCCTTTTCCACCTTGTAATGATTCAGAAAATTGATGTTGCATGCTACGATGGTAGGCAACAACAGCAATCAGTACCAAGGTGTTCGGTTTGCAATGTTTGGGGGGAATGGCCACCACATTAGGACAACGTAAGCAAAACAAAACCGGCAAACAATCCACAGACATGTTATGCACATCACACTACCGACTACACATCACTCGGTCATACCAAACAACCGACCGTCCGAACGACTGATCAACTAAACCGAACAGCATAACATGCAAAGTATTGAACGCCAGACTTGGTCTGAGTGACTCTGCAACTCCAGCAAAAACCAGACGTTTTTCGTCTCGGCGGTCATGAATCGCCAGTTGAATTTCTATTCCTTGTCCAAAAACGGGTAGAGACAGGCAGCAGGGTTTGTCTGGTGCAAACCAGCTACAACGACGGCGAACCGTTGGAAATGAAAGAGAAAAAATGGGGACAGCAATGCAGCATTTCGGTTTTTACGACATTCAACCATAACTATTCGAATGGGGCAGCAACCAAAATAGATTTCCTTGCCTTTCTTTCTTTCGGTCTTTGAGGCTAAATTCTCTACGCCAACAAAAACAAATTGCTACATGTGTTGCACAGCCCAACCGGGTAGCACTGCATAGCTAGACGCCAGGAGAAAGGCCAACGACAAAAATTGCAAAATGCTTTCTAAACGTTTTACTTTTTTCTTCATTTCGTTGGGCCAAACATGAAATAGGTGATTTTGTGTTTCTTTTTGTTTTCGTTTTGGCAGAGTGGTCATCTTTTTTGCTTCGACTTTGAAACAAATCGAATTGAAGACATTCCAAGAATCTTAAAAGGGGTCATTGTAAATAGGTATGAAACACACACACATAGCCAGTCAGATTGCCAGCCAGATAGTAAGTGAGCATTCGGATAGGATTGAGCAAGACTAACTAATTAAGATGTTGAACAAATTATTGTTGTTTTTCAAAATCAATGAAAAAATGTGATATAAACGTTAAATTTAAGTTAAAGCCCTAAACTACACTTATTATAATTTAAGTCTATACAATTAATGTTTAATGACAGCTGCTGTATATTGTACATTGAGATAATAACTAGCCACCACTACTACTACTTAGCCACCTAGATTAAGTACAGCCTGTCCAGTCAGTAGAGAATTCGCAAACATTTGTAAATACTGATCATGTAAGCAATCATTTCAGTTAGGAAAGGTACTTAAATTGTCCACTCATCAACAAAGCCTCCGATTGAAACTGAACAAACAGCCAGCCATATATACATGTTTTTATTTATGCTTTTTTCACGATAATTGCAAAACGAATTGATGAATACCCCAAAAATAGAACGTCTCGAATGAGATCTCGCCATCCCATTCTCTCGAAACTGAGTATTTTATTCTTAGGTATTTTTATGTGTTATAAATAGTGACTGATTAAATGTATAAGCTAGGTTTGTAAATATATGTAAATTTCCAATTTCTCCTTATGTCTCTCCCATCCTGTTTATTCTCCCTCCCACTTAGCTCATAAAACATTGTATTAATTTATTTTGTGTATTATTTGTTTTATTTGTACTTTTTCCTAAATGTCTTAGCAGTTAAGTAGTCGTAATTATTATTATTATTATTAATTTTATTATAAGTAAGTTTACACGAAGTATAGTCGTATGCGATGTGAAGAAGCGAGAACGAATATCATATTGAAAACAAACAACAAAAGACAATAAAAATAAAAACCACAAAACAAATATTAAAAATATTAAAACAAAATACTTGCATTTCTTATTTTTTTTTATTATTATATCAATGAGAAGATGGCTGTTGCCGGGAAGGGATGTTTAAGGACGGCTTGCTATTGTTGTGAACCAATGATTAATGTCCGGCTGGGAATTTTTCATCTTCGACCATGAAAGATTTGGGTTGTTGCACCTATTTTACCTCATCTGGGTTATTCTGGGAAAACAAGAAGACCGCCTATACACATACATCTTGCTATGATGATTAACAAGACAACAATACACACAAATATCTTTTGTCTAATGTCTGATTAGTGCAGGTTGTCCAATTCACACAACTACACCTGTAGGTCGCCTCTCCAAGGTAGTCAGGTAGCCGATTGTGCAAACACGACAATGATGGCCATATTTGAAACGGTTGTAAATGCCATAAATTTCATCTGTCTCTGGCAGTTTTCTCTGTAACAAGATTACGATCAAGGTTAATTTCTTTTATCACTATTGACTTTCTGCTAGCAGTGCAAGAAATAATGAGCGGTTTGCCTTTCGTAATTGATAACGTTCATCTAAGTTTGACAGTTGTTTAATCCAAGGCCTACAAATTATTTCAATATTTTTCTAAACGGTTGTTTTGTTCCAGGTACCAGATTTCCGATTATCTTTAGCACAACAAATTTATGACATTTCAGATTTTGATCTATACCAAACATTTCTCTTTCTTTCTAGGTAAGAATAAAATTATTTCACCTTTTATGAAATTGTAAAATAACAAAACCAAAAATGAGATCAGAATTTCCAATTCGATGGAGGCCAAGTGACACTGAAAAAATCACATTAAGGTGAGTTCCAATTTGTATATTCAATTTCATCGAAATATTAGGATTTGCTAAATGGCTGTCATTTGTATCTTCGGATATTCAGAGTGTAAAACATATTCCCGAAGAAAAATAATAATGTATATGCTAAGTTCGATCAGTACGAATTTGCGAACGAAATGTAAAATTAAAACCCCATCCACAAAACACATTTCTATTCTCCAAATGCAGTATCATAGTTACTTCGCAAGAGAGAGGTGTATGGTAAATAGGATTTATTCAAGAAAATACATTTAAAAAATCATTTACATAGCATACTATGCTATTATAACAAATACACAAAAAGTTTATTACAGCCCCTTTTAGAAATAGGTTAATTAAGTCTAATGACATTAAGATTATCTTTGAGCTGTTGCCTCATCTCTATTTCACCTTTCTCTTCTCGTTTCGTTGGCAATGCAAATCGATGATTATGATGCCCATAATCTTCCAAGTTCACTAATTTCGTTGAAATTAAGTTGAATTTTTAATGGAATGTGATTCTAAATGACCAGTGGATGACAGTGATGCCTACTACTGTATAATCGAAATATTCCTCGGGCCAATCAAGAACAACAACGAAAGATAATCAAATTAATATGATTAGATGATAAGCGAATTACGGGCAAAAGCCGAAAAGATCGACAAGAGCCCCATCGAAAGATAGATAGTCAGACATAAGAGTTTGAGATCTGCTACTGCTGCCACAAGGAAGAAACCGCCAAACAGACATAACAAATGACAGTACATCAGACATTAATTAGAAATTAATGTGATATAATTAAAAATCCAAAATAAAAGTTTGGACTCTCAAAAATGAACACAAAAATACATTCATCTATTCGTTCAAAGCTATTTCAAATGTTAATAAGCTGCTGCGGCTTGTTGCTGTTCCATCATCGAGCAACTGACGACTAACATTCCAATTTCGGCGTTTCATGCTCCACATATACGGACACAAGCAAACACCGGCTGCTACAGCGAGGGATAGATTCGAAGCAAATCAAACCCCCAATGGATGGCGATGATAATGTGATGCTTGTGCTGAGGATGACGATGTAGATGTGAACTCGTTTATTGGCAGGCAGACTATGCGGTTTGTTAGAGTTAGATTTTTATCCTAAACCAACAACAATGATAGTTATTAACATCGATGTCATTTATCTGCCGCTGCTGCTTTTGTTGTTTGTTCGTGTCATGAAAATCTGTATTTTCTTGTCCTTGTTCGCTTCTGTATTCTTTTTTGGTGATTTTCTCCTGTACGGTGCTGGTGGTCGTTATGTTTGCGGCGTCATTGAATGTTTGTTCAGCTACTAATTTTCGAGGCCATGCTATGGAACTGTTCAGCAGACATTAAAAGAATTTCCTACACAACCTTGACATTACAGTAATGACAGCCAGTGTCGCCTTGAACCCATCGCTAAGCAAGAGCAGTAGCCGACTGCCAGTGCCTTTGTAAACAACACTTGGACGCGACGGTGCAGGATACGGGAACATAATTCGAATGCCATAACTGCTACTGATACTGCTAAGAAGTAAGCAAAGAT